TAATACCTACTAAAATTCACATATACTTTTTTTACTAACAACACTAACCCTAAACCCTAACCTAACCCTAAAAAAAAACCTTAACGAAAAGGCCCGAAAATTTTTTAAAATTTCATAGTAAAATAGGTCAAAATTTCAGCTTCATCCCCGACATTATATATCTGAAAATTGCTACGATAATTTTTAATAAATTCATTTTTCCCGAAGTATCACGAGGTTAAAGAGCTAGTTTATATATATATTTATTTTGTAAACCATTTGACCTATTTGACCAGACCAATTTGACCAATGAATTTTTGGTTAACCAGTGATTTGACCAACTCTGATTAATATATAATTAACACCATTTTTTTAGCCAATTCTGATCCAATAGCAGCATAATATTCCTTCAATAAATATTTTTTACTAAAGTGGTTAAAATATGGCACACTCTAAATAGCAAAATAAGCAAAATAATCAGTATGCAAAAAAAAAAAAAACCTTATTAATAAATACTTACATTAAAATGCTTCACAGCTCCACCAAAATACACCAACATGTCTTTGATCTCATCATCAATAACCTTATTTGGATCAAGCATGCCTGGTAATGGCAGGTCAATGTTTTCTGCACATTGCCTAGAGGTTTCATGGTTTGCAGATTGGGCGTTAGATGGGGGATTTGCAAAGGATACATATTTATATTGATTCAAAAGGTGAGCGCAGTGTTCGAATGAGTACCATTCGTAAGTCTCCTATAAATGTGAGCACAAATAAATATTACAATATACGGCATAGTTGACATTAACAAAAAATTACAAACAGGATCTAAAAGGTCGGACGGTTTGTATTGTCCCTTGTAACTCATTTTTTGACAATTGTGAATGTAATATCCTAAAAATTAAAATTAAAACGAATAGAATATCAACACACGAAAAATTGGGTTTGATCAGCACATATAAGCACCTACCCATGTAATACCAATGTAAGTCTTTTAATCCAGCAGTATGCAATTCAAGAGTCATTGTTATTTCTCTTAAAGCACTGTATTTCCCAAGCTGCAGATAACTATAATCCGGGTCATAAAAAAAGTAAACCGATGACGTACATTTCGGTAGTATATCAAGAACGGCAACAGCAATAAGTTCGTCATCCAAGTAATAACATTGATGAAAAGATCCGTATCCTGATGCATTCGGAATTACTTGCGGTTCATGCTTCAAGTAAAAATAATTAATATAAAACCTAATTTAGCAGATCACTATGTTGAATGTCAAAAAAAAAAACAGAAATTAAGTACTTTTAGTGGAGAATTCACAAGGAACCTTCGAAAACTTTCTTCAGACAGTTCAGTATCATTATGAATGATGGTTTGATATTTGCAATAGAGTTGATATTTTTCTTGAGTGAAAGAAGATAATTCAGTCGTAATCTGTTTACATAAATGTATTTTTTTAAGAGTTATAAATATTATTTAGGTGAATTTACTTAAGTTCTTAATATACAGCACTTTAAATTTATGTTTCAAATCTACTCGACCCTCAGCTTCGTGGATTGCTTCAACTAGATCAAAAGTATTTTCGGTCCGCTTTCTAGATTTCGATTTATCTCTTCGAAGAAATATCTCTCAGAGATTCGATATAGAACTTTTAATTTGTTAATAAAATATACAATATTCATTTACTTGTTTGAATCGGTGTCGTTTTCGTTGGAAGGAACATACGTTCCTTCTAGAAAACGATTAAATTTGTTGATCAATTGCCGTTGTGATTTTGAGGCACGGAATTTTATTGCATCCAACCTATTGAGAACGTGTTTATTAAAATTTGAAGCGTCATCTAAAAATTACAGCAATATTATAACAATGAATTGCCTTATCGTATACTGCGGGCAACAACTATCACGTAAATTTGGCTTATAGACAAAAGTACCAGAACTATATTAAAATAAATTTTATATAAAAATTAAAATTCTGTTTATTTGATCGTTCTGCACTTTGGAACCATCATACCGTCGCCAGCCACGATCAATAAGATCTTGGTAATCCTTTAAAAAGCAATGAAAATAAACAAAATGAGCTAATAAAATAATTTTACGGATTTTAACTTACTTGACAAGTCAACCTAATGGCGCTTAAACCGAACTTATGTGAAGTATTTTCACTAGAGTTACAGTAACCGCACTCTGAGGCGTATGATCCATGACTCTGAACAAAAGAATATCCGATTGAAGTTGACATCGAAATGGTAGTACAAACGAAGGTACCGCTAACGCTAAAATTAACGCGCGATCTAAGTTTGGTGAAACACAATTTTGCATTTTTTACTTTTACCGATTCCATTTTTAGGGGATCGCTAAAGCCTTGTACCCACGTGATTTTGAAGTTCTTAATTATAATTAGGGTTAGGGTTAGTTTAAGGTTAGGGTGAGGGCAGTTCTATAGGTAAAATTGCCTTCCCGGCATTTTTTATTAGTGCACCAAGGCAGGTTTAGACTCAAAGGAAGAAGTTTGTTTGATTGGCTAATTTTTATGGATCTACCCGTGATCACCCATGATAATTAACCAATCAAATTATATAATTTTAAAGTTCATCGCTTTAATACTACTAGAAAACAAAAGAAACTTTGAAGAAGTTATAAATCAATAAATATACAAAAGAATTAATTTATTTCAAATATATCGAAGATAGATCAATACTAGATCAATACACGTAAAGTGGAGTAAACGTGTTCTTCATTATTAATAAACCCAAAACCGTTAATACAATCTATAATCTATAAACTAAAACTTATACGGTTGAAGACCAAAACACAACACAAGAACCAAACATATTCATGCATTAAACCTGAAACTTCTTTTACGATAACCCTAATCTTGTTCAAACGCATTAGTTAGTAATAAAAGTTTTTTTTAAATCTAACGTAATAAGGCAGTCTTGAACAAAAACGTTTCCACTTATCTTCATTTCAATATAATTTGAGATTGTCCAATAAACGGTAGGTATATTTTGTCTTCTAAGCAAAGTATGTCAGTTTGTGGATTTTTTTTGGATTCTTTTGCAAAGTGAACGTTGGCACTCTTCCAAAGCTATTAATGATATTTGCGATGAATTTTTGTTGGTGAAATGTTACATTCGCAAAAAGTACTTTAAACAATATAAATAAGTTACCCGGGCAATTGATCTATGTCAGCCAATCAGATGAATTTCTTCCTATGAGGTCCAGGAAGCATAGCGGTCTTTAGATCCAATTGGTCAATCATTAAAATGTATCGTCTATATACGCGAATACATATTCAGAAACTACATCTTTCACTCTATATACTTTCAAAATAATCACGAAAACGGAGAAGTATTCATGAGGGTTGGCTATAGAGCATTTTTTTAAATTCAGTTGTTATATACTATATAAGAATTTCTAAAATGAAAGAAATATTAAGGCTTTTTTTTTTTACAGTCAGATCTCTAGTAAGCGAGTTTGTTCTAAAGATTAATAGTATGTTTAGATTGTAGTTGTTAGACGAAGCTTATAGATTTTGATATTGATGAAAGTCGAAACTGGCTTCAACTTTTGTAATCTAATAAGTAAAACTAAAAGAC